TCTACATAATTTTGAATTCATCAGTATTTTTAGTTTTAATTAGGTAAGGTACCATGCCTACATAGGTATACAAAATATTTTTGTATTTATATTTTCAGATATTTGGTATGTCGTGAACGGTATTGTAAAGGAACAGCCAAAAGACTTGCTAATGGCGTTATTGTTAACCAAATACCACATACCCATGAGCCTAATAATATTGAAACCGAACGGCTGGAATCAAAAAAAGAGTTTAGGGCAAAATTGATTCAAAGAGCAGTTGAAGAAACTACGAACTTCGAATCATCTACGATGAAGAATGTTTAAGGTATTATAATATTTTACGTTTAGAACTAAACAGTGGTGTATTGTTAAATAGATTTATGGGTATACGCATCTAAAACTAGTTGAATATGTTTACCTTAAAAAATGTTCTCGCTTCCCTAATACATATCTTTACGCTTATAATAATACCATCTGATAATCTTTTATTACAAACACTTACTCTTCACGTGTATATGTATCAACGAATCGAATCAACGTAAATAACTTTTAACTTGCGCACTTCTGAAATTAATTTTTTATAGTTTTTAAATTTATTTACCTTATCCAACAAATATTTCTAAATATTTTAGAATTCTGTTTACAATAATTCTTATGAATAATATTTGTAGTAGGTACAGTTCATAAACCAAACATAATGTATGATTTATTGTCATTTCAGATATGATAGAGCTGCTGTACATTATTGTTGGCCAACCGCTGAAACCTCTATGCGTAAAGCTCGTAAAAAAATTATTCCACCATTACCACCTACACTGAATGCATTAAAAGAGTACCTTGAACAACATTTGGATAGATATAAATGTTGTGATCATTCATTCTATCAAGATTATAATATTGATAATCAAGGAAAGTATACAGTGATATTTGGTTGTATTGATCTTATCCGTAAAGTGGTCAATCAAGGGGGTGAAGAGGTGCATGCTGATGCAACGTTTAAAGTTGTACCATCTCGACCAAATTGCAGACAGTTATTTATAATGCATATGATCATTCAAAACCATGTGAGTTCTATCATAATTTAGTTACTGATATCTTTATATTAAAAAAAAAAACACTAAAAGTTGTATAATCTTGAAATTCAAACATTCGATAAGACCAAAATAATATACCTACCCAAAATATTATCATTTTAAGAATACTGAAATTTTATCATTTTTATTTAACAGTCTATACCAGTGATATATATATTGATGGAATCAAAAACTGAGACAGCATACACTCAAGTTTTGATGAAGTGTAAAGTTCTATTTCCTGAAATTAAGCCAATATGTATAATGACTGACTTTGAAATTGCATTACAGAATGCTTTTAAAATTGTATATCCAGATGCAATTCAACATGCATGTTTTTTTCACTATGTTCAGGTATTTGTTTGTTAATTTATTTAAAATTAATTGGTACTTAACATTTTATTTAGTCCAATTAATCAATTAGTTATCACCCATGTGATTAATTTAAATATTTTTTATGTTTAATAGTGTTTGGTCAAAAATATTAGGAGTCAAGGATTAATACCCTATGTTAAAAACAACGAAATGGCTCAAATATGCATTAAAATGACAGCTGCTTTAGCTTTATTACCACCTAACAAAATAGAAGGTTTCCAAATAATTCGAAGGTACAGCAGGGACAACAATATAAATCTGACTTCCTTTTTTACTTATTTCTCTAAGTAAGTTGAACAATATTTACAAATTAAATACCTATTTTGGCGACTGTTCTGTAGTCATTAGTCATTAGACAAAAAACCCCTATTTTGCATTTTTAGCCTCTTTGGGCACGCGAAGGGGATGAACAATAATGATCAAATTTAACATAAATTACTATTTTATAGTAATGAACAAAATGAGGGGGTGAGAAATTTAAAATATTAAAATATTTTTTTTCATCTCTGACTAAGGGCCACCCTAAGCGAACATAGTATGTTCGCTATTTAAAGAAAACTTTGTGTATAGTTATTTCTGTCTCGTTACAACATTTTGGTGGATTGTCAATTACAACACTTTAATTTGTGTACTATCAACAAAATCAACATGTGATGTGTCTTCTAAAACATCATTGTCATTGACATCTAAAACAACAAAATATTGTTTTTCAACGTTCAAGTCATTTCATCTTCAAAATGAAGTGAACACAATCTATGATTTCTAATTAGAATATCAGGGTCAATAGTTGGTAAATTGATTGGTTTACAACGTTAAAACCATACAGCACATCTATAATTATTAAAACTATTGGTAAGTACTTATAAAATTATTTGTAATAAATGATAGAAAACCAACATCAAGGTTAGAGATTGTTTATTAATACATACAATACATAATCACTATTATACGTCAAGGGTCTGTCAGAACAAACGCATGTTTTTTAAAATAATGCTACGCTCAAAGTAATTTCAGTAAAAAATGTTTTATTGTACACATATGCAGATTTTTATATGTAACAAAATTTAGGTTTTGAAAATAATGTCAGGCATATGGCGCTCTTGAGTAACAAAGTAGGGATGCAGGCACTCGAAAAACGACCCTATCGCGTCCCGAAACTTTTCTCACCACTTGAATGATCTTGTCTTTCAATTCATCAAGGGTTCGTGGTTTGTATTGGTAGACTTTTGATTTTATGTGACGACACCAAAAAAAATTGTATGTTGTCAAGTCAGATGAGCAAGGGGGCCACGGAATGTCCCCAAAACACGATGTGACCCATATGTATGACATTATTTTCAAGACCTAAATTGTGTCCCATATAAAAACTGCATAAGTGAATACATTTTTTGATATAATAAAACATTTTTTACTGAAATTACTTTGAGCGTAGCATTATTTTGAAAAACATGGGTTTAGTCTAGCTTAGTGACAAGAAATAGGTGAGTCTCTTTTTGGTATTTCTTACCTTGCGTGATTTCTAGGAAATCTATGAAATTTGGTTTCAATTTCTTTTTTCCCAAAGAAAATACTGCTGCAAGTCGACAAACAACATGTATGGCCACCTGAATACATTATTGCAAAACAATTGCAATAAAAATAAATTAAAAATCATTTACTCAGGGAAAGTAACAAAAAGAGCAATGTGTGTCGTATGATATAAATTTCGGATAACGAGTGCAGGGGCGCACCCAGGATTTTTTTTTATTGGGGGGGGGGGCTAAATTCAAATCATTTTAATATTAATAGGTAGTATTTATTTTGAAATATGTACAGAAATCTTAAAGCTTGTTTACAATCGTTTACTAACTAATTTTGTTTTTTTGTTCCGGTTTTAAGTCGCGCCGTAGCAGTGATGTTATACCTGTAAAACAAATATTACCTATTAATTAAATTATGAATAATATAGTGATTGTTTTTTATAAATCTAACCTTTTAAATTATAAAGTTAAGACGCCTTGGTCCTTTTTTCCCCAATACTGAGATTACTTCTGAAGTTTGAACATCGATTTCTCTGTGAATATGAAGCATAGCTAATCCATTCGGTCGATTCTGACTCATTGTATTTCTCAAATATGTTTTTATTCTTCTCAAAGTGGAAATTGATCTTTCGGTTGTACTAGTCGATACAGGCAATGTTTAGAATATTTGTAAAAGTATAAATATAGTTTCAAATAGAGTATCATTACACAAATTTAATGCATCGATTGCATTATGTGGTAATGAATGATTTGAGCATTGGAATTTTTGATACCATAAATCAAATTCTGCTACTGCAGCGTTAACACCATTTTCTGGTATATCATTTTTATAAAATTCTAAAAGTTTTAAATACTGTGATTTTTCTGTTTGATTAGGAGAATTTCCAGTAGGTAAAAGACACTTAAAACTTTTAATAATACATTTATGCTTTAAAAATCGGTCGTATACGTTGTTTATAAAAGAATCTAGCCATGGAATAAAAATGGCACGTCTGTAATATTTTTCTTCATTTTCTACTGGTACATTGCATCGTTTGGTTTGATTTTTTGTTAATCTGGGCATAGTAATTGTTAGTTCTAAAGCATTAGCAATTTCGTTTGCTTCATCAAAAATAATTTTAAATTCATTTTCAACATTAGTTCGTATCTCGCGAAGAACGAATACTACACCGTCCACGTTATTCAAAGCCTCTGAAATATCTAAATCACTCGATTGAAGAATTTTACTGATTGGTAAAGTATAACTTAACAGTTTCTCTGCACACAATACTGAAATAATAAAACCTGATTGTCGAATCCTACTTAAAAGTAAGAACGCATTAGACAATGAGTCTTTACAACAACATGACTGTATTTCTTCTAAAGCTGCAACTACAGGCAACAACATTTGTTTCATTATAATAACGGAATCATATTAATAATATTAACAATCGCGATATTAAAGACAAATTATAACAATATTTATTTAACGTCGTTTCAAGCTATCAACATGATATACATATAATTAAAATGAATAAAACAATTAGACAATTAAACAATTAGTAACACATTATAATATGTAACAAACAAACGGAGCGACAGACCGATGTCGTCGCGACGCGGCTGAGCGTATAACTAACTGATTAATAATAATAATAATAACAATGCAGGCTGGCTCTTGATGGAACATCACTACTGTTCGCGCCTTTGAGCAGCGCGTGTGTATACGCGATGTTAGTGATAACGTATTCCAAAGAAGTTGTAATACCTTGAAACCCAAACAAATATTTCGCCCATAAGAAATACATAGTAAATAATTTGGAAATTAATTAATTAATTAATATAAGTATATTTTGCACAAAATTTCAAATGCATAATGTTCATCGTAGACAAAGGAATTATAAAGTTATTAGATTCAAACTTAATTCATTTGTAATTTTAAATTTACTAAAAAAATAAATTTGGCGGTAAAAAAGTTAATTATGTTCACTTTAATTTTATTACGTCTAGGTATATTTAATATTATGATCTACATTTTTTTTTTTTTTTATCAATATTCATTCCGCATTTAGCTATTTTATGATATGGTTTATTTAAAGAACACCCAAATTGGCCAAATTTATCCCTTGTTCGTGAACGTGTTAACTGTTGTTATTATTTTTTATTCAAAAATATTTTATTGTTTATACAATTATTAATATAGGTTACTGTTGGGCTGTTGGATGTAATCATCACAACCAAAGAGAAAAGTGTAAATTTTTTACACTTCCTAAAGATACAAAAACTCGTAACAGGTGGTTGAAATTACTTAAGTAAGTATTTTTCTCCTATATATAATATGTATTACAATTTACAAAATTAATATATATTGTAAATAATCTTTACTTCATGTAAAAAATTATAGCCGAAGTGACCTACCTGGCCCTGGATGTGTTGTTTGTAGTTGTCATTTTAAAAATGGACTTCGAATTAACGGACCTGAGTTGCAAGAGCAGTTAAAAAAGGCTTTTAATAATGACTTTCCACCGCCTCCCCAAAAAAGAAGAAAGCTTGATGAAAATTCAGATGATTCAGAAATTCAAATATTGAATTTAAATAAGAAGATAGTTTTGAATTTAGATTCAAAGTTAGTACTTTTGTTATTAAATTCTTCAAATAGACTCAGGCACGTATCTGTGACCTCATCTTG